CTCACCCAGGAGTTTTAACATTAACTGGTGATCCTCATCTGAAGTGATGATGCTGCCTGACTGTTTGCAAAATGATGATTTTCGTTTCTGTGATGAGTCCCCTCACATTTTTCAGTTAATGGAAACGCTAACTGTTTCCATGCGTGATCCTAACTGTAATCCTAATGATAAACTCTCTGTATAGGTTAGTGTTCCTCATATCATCCCACAACTCACCTGTAATTAGATCACTCTCCATTAATGAGAAACCCAAACAAAAGAACTGTAAATATGCCTGGCTTTTCAAAAGTGAGCACAGGCTTCCATTTTAAACCATAATCCCTACATTAGCGAGGTTGAACAGCGGACATGAGTTCCCAGCTTGGTGATCAGTAGAGTAGATTCTGAAAGTTTTGCGCCCAAATTCTAAGGACTAGTCTTTCAGTTGCTAATGAAGGTCACAATAGTAAAATCCCTGCTTCCAGGCTTGGTCTGAAACTCATTCCTGTTTCTACTTGGTCCATCTGTCTGGAAGGACTACTGCTCTTGTTTGGAGCTGAGTTTCCTCATCTATAGATCAGAGAGGTTGGGTTAGTTGAGCTTCATCATTTCTTTCGGCCTGACTTTATAACTCATTTGATCTGTCATTTCCAGGGCACGACCGTAATAACATCACTGACTTCTGTGCTGTATGATGACAAGGAATTCCCACACCCAGAGAAGTTTGACCCTGGGCACTTTCTAGATGACAGTGGCAACTTTAAGAAGAGCGACTACTTCATGCCTTTCTCAACAGGTAATAGAAATTCGTTTCCAGGGGCCCAGGGAGATGGCTCCGTGGAATAAGCTCTTCCCTGGCAAGTACTAAGGGCCTGAGTTCAATCCCTGGTTCTGCAAAAAAAAAAAAAAAAGAAATTCATTTCCACATACGCCGTGAGGGACAGCTGAGCTGACTCATAGCAGACTTGGAGCAAGGAGGGTGGAGAAGGCAGGGTATTCTACAGAGGTAATGGGTACAGGAGAGCATGTGGTCTGTAGAGGTGGGGGCCAGATCCTGGCAACAAAAGCCAGCTGAGGAAAGCTCGGGGAACACAGAAGGCTGTCCTGCAGTGACCCCAGAGCGTGGGACCCCAGATGTTCCTCCATTCATGATCACACACCTTGGATATGCAGGCTCACTGCTAAACTGTGTGTGCAAATACACAGAGTTGCCTTCATTTTTAGTGTTCTGATGCCTATGTTGGATCTTGCAGTCTGCTTAGCAAGGTTTCAGAGATTGAGCTCTTCTTTTAAAGAATGCATTTAGCAGAGATGAAAAAGTGCTTCGTAGTTCTCAGTAGTATCAACATGGGGAGGCAATGAGAGTGAGACCCCCCAGGGAGGCCACAAAGATCATAAGGAGGAAATGACCTAAGGTATCGGTTCTGAAGGGAGAATAAGAGCATCACTTTTTAGCCAACTGCAACAACATGGATGAAGCCGGAAACTTCATGGCATTGGGACTGAAGAGCTGAGAGTGAAGAATGTGATGAATGGAAGGCACGATGTCAAACGGCAGACGGGGAACAGTATGTGGAGGACCAGGCCATGTCACTTGGGCCTTTGCTCATGAGACAGAGAGGAGAGTTGCTTGAAGCTTTAGAGTGAGGGAGCAGTGGCTTGCGGGTTAGTTCAGTTGTTTAAGTGCCTGCTCCAGCAAACCCAGTCAGCACAGGGGACCGTGGTTCAATCCCCAACTCCACGTGCATTATCAGACCCACCCTTAAGGCAGCCTGAGCCAGCCAAAATAAAGAAGTAAA